AAATAATTTTTCATATGATTTGCATATTATTGATAATTTTATATTTTCTTATTGTTTCATTAGTGCATTGTGCTTTACATCCTTAATCGTCGCTTTCGATATCCAATAAATCAAAAAGTGGAGACGGGTACGTGTAATCAAGTTCCGTCAATACCTGGATAATCAACAAGGTATAGGGGGAAATTAGGACTTCAATTGCTCTGTTCTATCAGCAGCTCTATCAGATAGATTTTTACACGGACATCATCGTGATTTAAAACCCTTGGTGAGGCAGTACAGTACGACCAACTATTGAAAATAGATAATCACTTTTATGTTGATTTCATTTATGCTTCATATTATTCATATATTCATTCAGGACGGTGTGGTCACATATCATGTTGTTATGAAAAAATCATATAGAATTAGCTACTGTAGCGAACTCCTTGCTACATTTTTATATTCTTATTGTCATTTGAAATTTATATTTGACCGTGTTGCCTCTCGAGCCGGATGAAACGGAGATAATACTTTTAATATGCAAGGAGAGGATTTTAGAATGGAAAACTACAGAAAAGATGAGGAGACAGACATTAGCAAAATATATTTGAATGTAAAAACAATGTCAAAAAAATATAAATTTCGAATGACAAAAAGAATATAAAAATGTAGCAAGGAGTTCGCTACAGCTACGATGGACCAAATGACCTGACTTCATTCTCATCATTTCATCCTTCATTAATACCCCGTTATTGTATATTATTGTGAGTGCACTATTCTATTTTCATCGGTTAATTAAATGCAGAAAGTATGTAAGAGGGAAATCAATAAAGGAATTTCACTAAATCCCCGCCAATACAGTTCCAAACATCTGTGACCTATCGCAGCGTTTATATTTCCAAGTAATTCTAACATTCAACAGAACAGTATTCAGCCCAAGATTATTATAACATGAAGGCAAACAAGTGATCCAATATTGGGAGATTGCTAAATGTTTGTGTGTACTGTATAAATATCCCAACATCCTTTAAGTAAAGGTTTATAGGGATGAACCAAGATTTGACGTTGATCAATTTCCTTGTGGATAGAGATAACTCACTACTAAGTTTATAGCAGGATGATTTACATTTTTTAAATATTTACAATTAATATGAATATAAAGATAGGTTTATTTCTCTGAGTGAATTTGATGACACAAATATCATAAAATTGTTCGACGTGAAAAAGAACATTTGGCGTTTTAAAAGTTCGAGCAATCGTCATGAAAATTGTCATATACTCGTATATAGTGGTTATAAAGACATAAATATCTATGTTTGCGTATGTGGGCGTACGTGCGTGCGTACGTGTATGTGTGCGGTGTGTGTGCATTTGAATAATATTCTCAATAGCTCTATAAAATATTACTCCTAATTACTAAACTTTTAATTCAATCCTCCACGCCCTGAAAATTAGTTTTATTATTCCACCAGTACCAATGCTGCCATTGCACTTCCAGACTAGTTGTTCAATAATTTTTCTCATACGAAATCGAAAAAAAAATCCAAGTGAAAAGTTTGCACCGAGCGTGCATGCGGGCATGAACCGCGTGAGTTTCCAGAATTTTCCGAGAGACTGCGCTTTGGTGCTGGGTGCATTCGTTGCGGGGGCAACGCTGTCTCGAGATGCTTTCTTTGACTGATGTGTGAATAAATTTGTTACTACGAGTATATTTGTAATACTAACAACAATTATCACATTCATAAGTTTATTTAGACATATGCTTCCAATGCCTATATATGCTTCGCTAGACCACTGATGAAAGTTAGGTTATAAAGATCTATATTTATTATCTTATATTTATAATGTGTTTAATATGACATTATAAAATAACAAGTGCATTATATTTCGTATAAAAACAATGACTATAATCGAACCAACAATTCATAAACATATTCAATTGAAAACGTTTGAATTTAGAAAGCGAAATCGTTATCCTATAAAAACTTTCATGTTTAATTATCATAAAAATAATATGGAACAAATACGGAAGTAAACAATAGGTAAGTATCGATTAAAAAAAAAGAATTGTTAAAATCGTTTCTGAATTAACGACTTAATCGCGTCACATAATCACAAATGTTGAAACGAATTTTGGATGTAGTTTAAAAACGAAATGTATCGTATTGTACGTATGTATTAATGCAATATAGTCTAGTTAATATAGTACTTACTCGTCTTTGAAAATTGAAAATTATTATTATTATTTAACTCTTTATTGCACCATAAATAAAAATATACAATGACAAGTGAATAATTCAAATGAAATACAGTAACATAAATACAGATTGAAATATACACATAAAGGTACAAAAGGCGGTCTTATCGCTAGGGCAATCTCTTACAGACAACCTTTAGTTAAAGGAGAACAGACAGAAAAGGGCAGGTGGCGCAAGAGTGAATTAATAATTTAATTTTAATAAAAATCCTATTTTATACCCAATTATTATTAATCAACATCGCTTATAAATTTTTAAATATTATTTGAAAGAAGAAGAGAAAGAAAAGGCGTACTCGAAACATAATTTTGTAGGTACCAATCAGACTCGTCATCCATTACTACGTTTAACTATATTTCAGCAAACTTAAAAATCCAATCTAACATCTCACGATCAATGTATCATTTCATATAAATTTACAGGGAGCAGTGTATAACATAAAACTACAATATTTATTTACCTGGTATTTGCAAATACCAACTGTTATTGACAGATTTTGGCAGTTACAAAATACACGCGAATATCCGCAGATAAATACGAGTTATATATGTGTATATCAGTGTTCAGACTAAAGTTTAATGTTTTGTTTATATGTTATATATTGTGAAATTAAAAACTTATACGCCTGATCACTTTTAGGTTCTTTTTTTTCAATGGGTTATGATGGAATAGTAACCCCGCCTGCGCTAACGGTATACACTGGCGGAGCACCAGTGAGGGATGACAGGTGAGGATGAAAAGACAGGTCAGTTAGCCCATCGTGATGAATACACTTGGAATTCAGCACGATGATTTCCAGGGGGGACCACGTGGAGGTCGACCTGGTTGGGTATATTGCTAGCAATGGGGCCCTTAGTCTCCATTATTAACAATCCCCTCCCGATCACTTTTAGGTTAGGTGAGTAGTCAGTTTCTTTGCCATTTCAAGTTGAAATAAGCCCTTACACCTTTACCCCGAATAAAGGTTATTCAAATATTTTATATAAAGCTCTGATTAAGAGGTACAAGTACAAATTTAGCGTAGGTCGTTCCAATAACAGGCGAAGTTTTCTTTAAATTGGGCAGCTTTATTTTTAGACAAAACTGTCTATTATGCAATTCTAAAAAAAAAAAAATGTAAGAGCAAGTTAATTTGATAGTGAAATTACTGTGATTTGATAGTGTGAGGATAAATTCAGTATATAATCAGGTGCTTAGCAACTTCTCGTTTATTAACCAATGCCATCCATCAGTGCCAGGCTGCCAAGCCGGCAGCGGTGCGGGATTCGATTACTTATGCATTCGCCGCAATAGCTAATCCGCAACAACATGGCGCTAGAAACTTACGGTCGTTTGATGTACGAGAAACGAAAAATCTGGCAGTTTTGTTGTCGATCAGCTAAATATAGATGATCAATCTATATTCTCATTTCAGCGTATAAAAAGATAGAAGGCCTCATTAATCTCCCACTGATCTTGACTATAAGACATGGTCAAAAATGTTACTATTTATTTAGATCGCTAGCTTCATCGTGTATCATCGTGTGATAACATAGAAATGAATATATCTGCAGAAAAACCAAGGACGTGAAACTAGTGACCACACAGGTGTCCTTGGCCGAAGCATATGAACTAGATTTAAGAACCGACAATAGACAGGAAAGAAATAAAAATTGGAAAATAAAAGGAAAAGAATAGTACACAATTCGTCATATCAGTCATTAATTGTCCACTGCCGAGTACAGGTTTCTTCCACAAAGGGATCAATAGTTGCTACATTTGGTAGGCGGGCTCGCAAACGTAGTTAGGCTTTGATGATATTTAAGAGAGACGCTGCCGCCCCTCCTTGATCATTTATTTCTCTCAGTCACCTCCTACGACACCCATTAGAAAATAAGGAAGTGCATTATTATTTTTTACTAAATAGTATGATAATCTCATATATGTTACAGGGAGTCGGTGAAAGTAAGTTCAAATTATAATCATTACTCATGACACTTTGTGAGAGTGTAAAGCCCAGTAGTGGATAAATAACGATTGATTTCACTTTTCTCTATTAAAGAAAAATAAATTTAGATTTCAAGTTTGCATCAAACATAAAACAAATATTCATAAATATACAGATGCAGTCAACCGATGCAGAAAACGTGAGCTGTCGTTTCTGCTACAACATCTGTTTGCCCAGTTACTTTAAAAGCAGTTGATAAATTTTATTTTGATTTTCTCCATAACACTTTGCCTGCTGCAAAAAGGTATAAAATGTAAAAAGGTGTTGTAAAATAAAGAATTATTGAATCTCATTGACCTAGATTAAATTTAGCCAAGCCAAGTTTTTGTAACTGAAGCAGCCGAGCCAAGTCTGGGTAGGTATAGTACAAAGTATAGGTACTAAATGGATTACTACTTCGCGACTAAGATTGTCTGCTGGTTAATTGTGTTAATACAGCTATGTATTGAAGCTTGAACCGGCACTCTATGAAAAGAGTAATTTTGTTACGTCGGGTCTAATGCAAAACGGAATCGCCTTCCCTAGAGACAAACTCAATTAATTCCCTTTAAAACAGGAGTCTCACTCAATGAAAGGCTTTCAAAATTTAAACACATTTTGACTTCAACTTTCGAAAGAAGTTCGCGATACATCGAGTACTCGGTTCTAATTTTGTTACGGTGGACGATAAATTCGTCGATGGATTGTGTTCTGAAGCGGTAAGTACGATCGTAGGGCGCATGTCAGTAAGTAACTTGTTGGCTCGTGGAGACTTTGAGAGCGGCAGTGCGGCGCTTCGCTCGCGGCCTACTGTACCTGGCCTGGCGCGTTCCGGTTCCGGGAAAAACAGTTTTCGATTTTACGTATTCACTTTTTATATATATTTTTTTATTAAAGTTTATACTGTGTATTCTATTTTTAAATGTTATAAGTAGTACATATTGTTGCTTCTGTTTGATCACAACATTTTTATTTCTTTTTCAACTTTTTTATTTTAATTGTGTTTATTATATTTAAATTTAGAATTCTTATATCTTTATTTATAGATAAATATATAATTAAGAGATACAATGTAACAATTAAGTTTTTATGAGAACTAAGTGATAAAATGGACTCGAAAGTGAAATTGAAATGACTGAAAAATGATGTGAAATGATGGCAGTCAAAAGACTTATCATAGTGTGGGCGGTATGGCTCGTGTTGCCATTGGCAACGGGCCATCTCAACGTGCTCATCAGTAAGGTGGAAGTAATGAAGCTATTAGGTAAGACTTGGATTTGTCTATTATTTAACATACAAACATGTACAACTGTTCACATTCTATATTTTCGATCATCTGTACTTTGTAATTAGTTAAGCACGTAAAAAGCTCAATAAGCAGAGAGTCAGCAGTTGCCACACTTGGCAGGCGAGTTAGCAACCACAGTTAGGGCTTTTAGAAATGATTTAAGAAGGATGCTGCTGCCTATCTCTCTACTATTAAGTTTCTTGAGTCGCCTCTTACGACGTCCACAGGAAAGGAGGGGGGTGGCCTATTCTTTGCCGGGTCCACACTAGTATTTTTAATATATTAATTTTTAATAAGTTATATTAGTATATTAATTTTAAGAGATATATTTTGGTACTTTACGTTACATTATTGTATATAGCCTCTGTGTAACTCGCTGATAATGTAGCTATAGAAGAATTTTTTAAATGGGTTAAATAGTTTTTGAGTTTATCCATTACAAACAAACAAACAAAAAATAAGACTCTCTTTATAATATTAGTATAGGTAATATGTAAAGGGATTCTATCCTTATTAATCCTTACTAATATAATAAATATGAAAGCAAGTTTGATTGTCACCTTATAGCGTCTTAACGGATTAACAATTATTATGAAATTTGGTATACATATATTATATGGGATAGAGAAAAAGGCTACTTTTTATTACAGTCACGCATACGAAGTCGCGGGCAAAAACTGTATTAACTATGTAATATAATAAATGTGATTTAATTTGTTTGTTCTTTGTTCGTACCATATTGGTTTAACTAATAATCATGTTATGTGTAGTATTTGGAATGGAGATCAAGCAACCTTTATTCCGGTCACTCAATATATTCCGGGCAAAGTCGCATGTGAAAACTAGTGATATATAAACCAATCTAGGGCTCGTATCGCCCGAGGCAGTATAAGATTATCCAAACGAGAATTACGAGTGACTCTCACTTTTGTCCCTAAAAAATGTCTAATACTTGAACTTTATCACTTTTTGCTTGGATACTGCGAAGTTTGGGAATTGATATACATACATACATATATATATTCCCTAGGGATATTTTAAGGCTGTTATTGCCCAAGAATGTAGTAAACCTATAATTTTGTAGATATGTCACGCGACATCATCATTGATTTTGAATTGAATCGTCAATGTTATAACAGGCAATAAAACTGATAAATATAAATTGAAATTATATAAATTGTGTTGTCAAATAATGTATGACAAATTTAATATTGAAGAGTGTCCTCTATAAAAAAAAAAAGAGTCATAGAACTCCATGTCAGAAGTAAAAATTGCTGGGGTTTACAACTTGTAAACGTTGTTTTTGGGTTTGTAAGAAATATTTTTTAAGAAGTAGGTATATATTTTTCATTAGATATAGTTTTTATCAATATACTAATAAAGCATTTATTTATTGAATAATTTAGATATACTCGTATACATCTGAGCGCGACGATCACATCGGAGCAGTGCGTTTTCACTTCAAAAAAGAATAAAAGTAATCATTATACTTATTACATCATTCATCATCATCATTGTTTACTTCTCTGACCCTTCTTTATTTGTTCTTTGTTTTGTCAAGATCCTTTTTGTTTAAATTAACAATAATCAATAATGGCCCGTCAACTTATTTGGCATTCTAAGTTGCATAAAAAAAGTGGAAATTTCTACCAATACCTATCAAACCTAATAGTTTTATAGAAAATTTCAAATGACTAAATCGATATAATAAAAATTGATAGCCCGTTATAACACCCATTTTTATAGTAACAGGAGCGTGATAAAAATAGATGGATACCTACTTTCGATTGTTCTAGAAACTTAAAATTTAGCAACGTAAAGACAGATCTGTTGAGTGTTATTTTTCAATCGACTTCGAAAAAAAAATGATGTTTTCTCTATTCGGTTGTACTTTTTTCTATGTTCGGAGTTAATATAGAAAAAAAAGGTAACCTTTTCCTTTATTTATTCCGTCATTCATAAATTTTTTTTGGAATTTTATATTTAGATTAATGCCATTAAAAAATTATCAAAATCAGTTCGGTAGTTTAGTTTTTAAATAAAAATAACTGCTGCTAACGTCCACTGCTGAAAATATGCCCCTACTCTATCGACCGCCACAATGAACGGTCCTGAGCTACCTGCATCTACTGACTTACTGCATTGCATTTCAGATCATCACTACATTTTGTGGGAGTCGTCATACACTGTGTTTGCTCGTATAGGGTCGTCTTTCAAGAACTTTTCTTCCCTATATGTTGTTGATTCTTCGAGCTATGTGACCAGCCCATTGTCATTTCAACTTGTTTATCGGGCTCTGACAGTTACTTCGGTTCTTTTGCGAATATCCTTCTTTCGGATTTTATCACGCAAAGAGACTTCGAGCGTAACCCTCTCCATAGCTCGCTGAGTAATTTCAAGCTTTTGCATACGAGCAATCATGTTTCATCAAAGTCACCAATGGCAACACGCACTGGTTAAAGACCAGTGCAGTCTTCATACTTTGGATGCGAAGATGTAGCGTAGTTTTCTGAACGCTGGCTCTCCGAATTAGATTTGTCGATTGACCTCTCGGACGAAATTGGAATTACCAGACTTATAACCAGTATAGGTGTGACATAGATGTTAGATATGGTTTTAGTCTTGCCTATGTTCATCTTAAGACCAACTCATTTAAAAGCACTATTGAGGTTATTGATCATAGTACACAAGCAACTTCAAGAAATGAAGTGTAATACATCAAAATTGTCTTTTTATATGAAGAAAAAGTAGCTGTAAGACTATAACGAAATATGTGATAATGTTCGTATTTAGTACACGTTATTAATAAAGCGATTAAATCACATTAAAATTTGAAGAGTTGTAAAATATATACGTTAGTTAATCCGACTATATTTACAATTAAAATAGTAACAACATTCCATTCATTCTTGATCCTTATCTTTAATAACAACACTACCAACCAGCTGTTTTCCATTTATTTGTTCATATCTCTATCTTTGACACTATCAAAACAAGTCTAATACAGAGGCCTTATGAATCGGCATTGTTGACGTCATCCCCAGCTTCCGAAGATCAAAAAAATGTAATTATCAACCCTCGATCTACCCTCAACAATTTATATTTGTTCTACAAATTCGACGCATTTCGTGTACGCAATTGCACACGTGTCCATTGTGCTACGCGATCTGTCACGTTAAAACTATAATATAAAATATATTATTTAGTTTTTATTATGAATGAAATAAACGTTTAATAATATAAACAAATAAATTAAATATTTTGTTATCTTTAATACACTTCTTGATAATTTCAAGACACTTCTCACAAAACATCTATCTACAGAAACAACTTCAGCTGAATGTATAGGTATAATAAGAATTTAATTCGACTTTTTTTCTTCTCATTAACATATCTGTACAAGATGTAAAATAATATAAATATTAAAATACCGATAATGACGTATTTAGTATTAAACATAATTATTAAATACTTACTTAGTAAAGTCGCAGTAATTTCCAAAAGAGAATTCAAATCATGAATAATTAATTGATAATTCATTCTATATGGATTATTATACCTAATATTTAATTTAAATAAAGTTATATTTTTATAGATTTATATAAATAAGCTTTGTATATTTCACAGTCTATGGTTTGTTTTTTATTTTAAAAATATTATGTAATTATAAAGTTTGTTGAACAAAAACCATCAATCAATGGAAACGCACCACCAACGAGCACTATTACTAGTTTATTACTTTAGGGAGCACGAGACATCAGACCATCCGAATTGGAATCTTATTATAGATAAAAGAAACTTGCTCTCGTGCAATGCATACACAATTACGCACTACACTCATATTGAGTCATAAACCGAGCTGTCAAAATGCGAAACAATGTTAGTAGAGTGAGATGTATATATTATAGTTTGCATTAAGCCTATATCACTTTTACCATAATATTTAAACAAATAATAAATATCTATATAAAATCTATACTTATATAGTCATAATACTTATATAGTTATATTGTCAATAATTATTCAACATTATGAATATTAATTTATTTTATTATGTTGATGTTTTCAGTTGGTTACATAAATTTACTTCCAGATTCATCAATATAAGGGTGGTGCCGGTTCTTTCTGAGTAGTTTACTTGTAATTTTCATTCATTCATTCGTTCGTTGGCGGGAACATATGAAAGGTTGTAATCAAGATTATCGTTATTTACAATCAAACAAGTGAACTGTGTTGTTTGGTATCTGATATTGTGGTAATGATTGTCTAATGTCTATTATTATTCTTATGAGAATACTGTGTATTCTTTTTTGTATTTTTTTTATATCTATCGATAGAATAAAACATGGAGTGAATATAGGTTTGTCGTTACATAATAACAGTCACTGTGTAGGTAATGTTTGAAATTAGATGTTTATCTCTATAGAAAAACAACGCTGAGAGCCGTAATCTCTCAAGATGCTAAAAAATTATTAAATTAGTAGAAATAGGTAAAGTTATATGGTAAGCCAATTCAGATCCTTAATCTATGGTCTCAGGTTTGCTTGTATTATAATTTTTGTTCAATTATTCTTTCTTTAGCAAGTATATTTATAAATGGTTGTAATCAGGAGCAGAATTACAGTTATTTTAAAACAAACGACTTAACTGTATTATTTGGTATTTGATGAAATCTCAAGTGTAAGGGCATTTTGATTAAGCATGGATAATGTCGATACTGCTTTGCAATAACTCTATGTTCAGAACTGAACAGAAATTATGGTAAAAAAGGTCTGTACTCGTTTTGATATCGCTCATACAAGTCAGAAAATATTATATATTGAAAAATAGATATATAATACATTCTTTATTGAGCCAGTATTTAGATATTATAACTACAATATATAGATATTATACTCACCCCTAATTTTGATTAATAAATGAAACAAGAGCTAAACTCTAAGGTACTTGTACTACATTGAATAAGTGATAATGAC